AGTAGTACTAGCAGCAGGAGTAGCAGTAGTAGTAGTAGTAGTAGTAGTAGTAGTAGTAGTAACAGTAGTTTTAGTCGTGGTGGTGGTGGTGGTGGTGGCGGCGGCAGCAGGAGGAGGAGGAAGAGGAGCAGGAGGAAGTGGCAGGGGTCGGGATAGGGCAGGGGTACCTAATTGAATGCCCGTGCCTCCCACCAGTCCTCGCCCCAGGAGCTCGACCAGTTGGGCCTCGCAAGCAGCGCCGAAGAGCCCCCAAGTGACATCCGGTGACAACGGTGAGGTGAGTGAATACCATGATGGCCTCTGTAAACCCTGTCCGACTGCAGAAGTTCTGTTGGAGTTGGGTTGATCATGCCTATCTTTCTTGCCGCTCCTGATCCAAGCATCCGAACTTTCGTCACGGCTAGTTGGAGGACCATGGGACTTACAAAGTAGGTTACAAGTACCGTAAGATGGGTATAGGTAATCATGAGTATAGCTACGCTAGATGTTGTGTATCCCAACCTACTGCGTCCCAGGATCCTTTGACCGCCACCCTTTTGAACCTTGGGCTCCCTCCATGCGCCCGGAATGGAAGGAGGCCATAACCAAAGAGCAGCCGTGGGTTTGGGGTTTAGAGTCTAGGGCTCTAAGCCACAAGCCCTGAAAGCCCCACACACATTCAAATGGAAGGCCGTGACATCCTCAACCTTAAACCCTCAACGCCCTCAAGATTCCTGAAATAAGCCCTTGAACCATTTCGGAAGACATCCCTAAATTCAACAGCTTAAGATATACCGCAAGTGCAATGGTTGAGGTGAAGTCAACATGTGGAGCCCGACCCCATGCCCAATTTACCACCGGCCGTGGCCTGTCGTCCTGGGGTCTAAACATGTGTGACAAGTGGTAAATCGCGTAAGCTCGGCATATGTTCTTCTCATTGAGGAAGCTCACACTTGTGTGTGACATGCTCAGTGGGCATACTGCGCGCCTTCTTGTTGTCACTCACGACTGTACCCTAGGGGCACACACTTTGCTGGCCTGTCGAATAATGCTTCCATAAGACGGGGAGCAGCAGTCAGACGTCCCCCAGCATCCCAGCCGATACCAAACGGTGGCTCCAGGATCCATGCAGCTTTCAGGAGAATTTGCAGTACATATAGTTGCCCCCATCTGCATGATCAGGACACCAGTCTAGGATTTAGGGTTTAGGGTCTAGGGTGGCTATGAACAAGCTCGGAAAACCGAACCAGACTCAAGCAAGTCAGAAGAGTCCCTCCATCCGCAGGCCTGCGCCCTTTGCCGCGGCCTGTGTGGCATGAGTGTCTTTTTCTGTGATGCAGGGGCCTTAATAATTAGAATAGGGTTGTGGGGGGTTCCTTATTATAATTACTGTATAATACACCCCCAAACGCTATTCTTATTATTAAGGCCCTATATTCGGGTCTCAGGGGGCTTAACTGAGTTTTTGTAAGTGGGACTAGGGTTTAGGGATTAGGGGTTTGCCGTCGGTTTACGGTTTTGAGCTACCCAGATCTTCTGACATCCCTTAGTGAAGGAATGTATACCTTGGGTCATCTTGGGGATCCTGCTATCATTTGAGATATACCCTTGAAAAGAGTGACATTGGAAGGTCTTGGTCTTCCTCTACAGAACCAAACCGCCCAAAATCCTCATGTAGTGAAGTCTTTCTTTGGACCGTAAGCCCTAAACCCTAAACCCTAAAACCCTAAAACCCTAAACCCCTAACCCTAAACCCCTAAATTTCCAAACCCAAACCCCTAAACCCTAAACCCTAAACCCCTAAATTTCCCAAACCCCAAACCCCTAAATTTCCCCTGAGGGGTCTGGGTTACAGGTTTACGGCCAAGGCTTCCCGACCCCGTCCAGCAAGACACATTAGGGTTCAGGGTTTAGGAGTTTA